TACGCCGAGGAGGCGTCCAAACAGCCCATCAACGACTGTGTCATAACAGTGCCGCCGTATTTCACTCAAGCGGAACGACGGGCCCTCCTATTGGCCGCCGATTTGGCCAAACTTAAGGTCCTTCAACTCATTAACACAAACACCGCGTTTAGCCTCAATTACGGTGTCTTTCGGCGCAAGGATTTCAACACAACGCTCACGAATATACTCTTCTACGATATGGGCGCCAGCAGTACCACAGCCACTATAGCCTCCTATCAATTGGTTAAGACCAAGGATAGGGGGTTCACGGAAACCAACCCTCAGGTCACCATTAAAGGTGATGAACAGTGTTATTGAGTTTTAATCTTATCTGTACTTTAAATGTGATTATATTTATGAGTGTTGTTTGAACTGATTTTGTGGTTGAATTGTGTGTGTATTCAGGTGTGGGTTACGACCGGACACTGGGAGGTCTGGAAATGCAGATCCGATTACGCGATCATTTGGCGAAACTGTTCGCAGAGCAGTCCAAGAAGAAGTTGGCGGACATCACGTCTAATCACAGAGCGATGGCTAAGCTGTTCAAAGAGGCGGGGCGTCTGAAAAAGGTGTTGTCGGCCAACAGTGAACACAAGGCACAGGTAGAGAATGTGATGAATGACATCGACCTGAAAGCGATGGTCACGCGCGAGGAGTTCGAGAATATGTGCGAAGACTTATTGTCTGAACGGATCACTAAACCCATTGAAGAGGCGTTTGTGTCATCCGGGTATACGATGTCTGAAATCGATTCTGTGATTATAGTCGGCGGTAACACACGAGTGCCTAAAATACAGACTGTTTTGCAAAAGTATTTCGACAAAGAGTTGTCCAAAAGTATTAATGCCGACGAAGGGGCCGCTATGGGCGCTGCATACCAGGCCGCGTACCTGTCCAAGGGTTTGTCCATTGCTTTTGTCGGCCACTTATTTGTGTATTTATTTATTGGTTTTGTTTGAATAGGTTTTAAAGTGAAGACATTTACGGTAAAAGACGCGAATTTATACCCAATTCAAGTGGACTTCGAGAGGGAGACCGACGAGGGAAACAAGAAATCTTTGTCGCGAACCCTATTCGCGCGAAACAACGCTTTCCCGCAGAAAAAAGTGTTGACTTTTAACAAACACTCCAAAGATTTTGAGTTTTCTGTTAATTACGGCTCAAAGATTGAGGACTTTTCGACCAATATTTTTAACGTGTGTTTTAATGAGTTATAAGTATTTGTTTAGCAGTTTTTGATAAACTTTTGTTTATCTTTTAGGTGTCACTAAAGGGTGTGTCGGAAGCCATTGGTAAACACGAGTCGGAGGACTCGAAGGGAATCAAAGCGCACTTCCGTATGGATGAGAGCGGTCTGCTTACTGTGGACAGCGTTGAGGCCGTGTTTGAGACCAAAGTGGAGTCGGATGCCGAAGAGGTGGGCAATATAGTGGGCGACGCCATCTCCAAGTTCGGCGAATCCATTTCCAAACTGTTTGGTCGCACAGACGATGAGACGCTTCTCGAAAAAGTATTTTTGGATTTTATTTTGAGTGTTATTTTGAGTATTAATTTGTGATTATATGAAAGGCTAACGAAACGGATTCGACGGCAACTAATGACACGACGACTAACGCCAAGAATGAGACAACGGATCAGAAACCCGCTGCTGAAGAAGGGGTTAATAAAACGGATGCGACGAATACGACGACAAATGGCACCCAAACGGAGCCGAAGAAGGAGTTGAAGATTAAGACAATTAAAGAGCCGATCGATACAACTGTTGTTGTGTTGGATTTGCCGACTCTTAGCGACGATTTGCTGCAACAGTCGAGGGATAAGCTGAAGGAATTGGACGACAAAGAGGGGGAGAAACTGAAGAGAGATAAAGTGAAGAACACTTTGGAGTCATTCATAGTTGAGACTAAAGTGAAGTTAGAAGAGGAGGAGTACTCGCAGTCGACCACCGATGACGAGAAGACCAACATTCAGACACAACTGTCCGGTGCGTCTGATTGGTTGGAGTACGAGTCGGACGGCGCGGAGGTTAAGCTCTTTAGCGACAAACTGTCGGAACTGAAGGCACTGACGAAAGCGCTGTTCGAGAGGGTTAAGGAGCACCGGGAGAGACCCGAAATGTTGGGTGCGCTCAACAATATGCTGAATATCAGTGCAATGTTTTACGGCGGCGCCGTTAACGCCTCGGCCGACGACCAGGTGTTCACTGAAGTGGAACTCCAGACGCTCAAGAAGTTGATCGACGACACGAAGGCGTGGGTGGAGACGTCGACTGCCGATCAAAACAAAATGGCTAAAAGCGAGTCACCGAAGCTCACCCTCAAGTCGATCGCCGAGAAAATGGGGGCTTTGGACCGGGAGGTGAAGTATATGTTAAATAAGGCTCGCATTACACCGCCGAAGAAGAAGGTCGTGGACACTGAGAGCGCCGATAAGAAAGAGGTTTGAGTTTTGAGGATTGGATGAGTTCTTGGAATTTGTAGTAAATTTTGTTGTCATTCGTGTGTTTAGGGCGAAGAAGGAAGTGATAAAAACAAGACATCCAGTGATGAGAGCACTGGTGAGACGCCAGAGGAGGACAACAAGAGTAAAGACGAGCCCAAAGCCGAGGCAAAGGACGAGACAATTAGTGACGAAAGCATTAAATTAGAGAAATTAGAGCCCAGTATTGAAGTAAACGACAATTTAGAGGACATTAAACAACATTCCGACGACAGTAGGGGTCAGACGGCCGACGATCACACGGAGTTGTGATGACTTATGCTTAGGTTTTTTCAAATTTATTGTCATTTAATATGTTTTTTGTATAATTTATTATTTAATTATTATAATAAACAAATTGTTTTTAGTCTTACATTCGCTTTGCATCCCATTTTGCGCCCACTTTTATAGTCGACACCAAAAATCTATTAAAAGTCTATTTAAGTTTAAAAATGATTTATTTTAAATCTTGTTTTCATAAACTCAACGAATTATTATATAAACTCTTTTTGACTCAAATTGTTAATGAATTTTAATTTTTTCACTTCTACTCGATGTCTTAAAAAATACATTTCTTGTAATATTTTTGCAATGATTTTCTCTATTTTCATAACTATTTTCTATGAAATCTATTGTCTATTGTTTTGGTCTCCCTTTCGATGAAAGGGGTGTTTCTTATCATTAACTGTTTTATTCTTAAATTAATTTATTTCTCATTAAATATTTAGTAATTAATTTGTATTAAATAATAATAAGAATTTTATTTGAAAAACAACTGAATCTTCGACATAAACAACAAGAAAAGAGTTATTTAATAAAAATAAATGTTATAAATAGTGTACAAAAGGCATATTTTATTTGTGTTGTCCTGTGGTCTCCTCTTTGATGAGGTGTTTAATCCTGAGGAGAGCGCTGTGAGCCTTGAAGTGGACCACCGTTTCGAGCAAATAGCCCGAGTAGTCGTTTTTGGCTTTTTTCAGCCAATACTTCGCCTCACTCTTGGACTCGAGGTCTAGCTTTGTTAGACCCAACTCTAGTGATGCCATCGGAAGTATGAATTTGTCTTTTTGATGTGTTTCTCACTATTCAGTCAATAATATTGTTTTTTTAATTAATCGTATGAAAGGTATTCATAAAAGTGTTTTTAATACTTATGAAGAATTTCTGCGAAACATTTTTCCGCATTTTTGTAGTTTTTCCTCACTTTAAGACAAATTCCTTTCAATAATAAGAGTAATAAATAGTTTTCGATTGCATTCACAGAATTTCCTGAAGAAAGAGACGGAAATTGAGTGCAAAATAAATAAATAAATTTCTTATAATTTGATTTTTTATCACAACTCACTGTCATTAATATACTTTGGTATCAATCTATTAATCCTATCAATCATATGGTCCACCAGTTGTTCATTTTGATCCAGAATTGTGAATACATTCCAAATATACATCAATTCCTTAAAATGATCCAGGTGAGTATTAAATAAAATGTACATAAGTTTAGACTAGAACTCACAAATGCTGGTAAAACTAATGTCTCGTTTTGTGTGAAATACTTGACAGCATTAACGCAAACATACTTTTCGGGCGGAATTGTTTTGCCGGCGATTCGCACCTTTAGTTTCGGGACTTCTCTGTTATCCATATAATCAGACAAATAAAACACACATTTTTGAAATAAACAAATTGAAAATCAAAGTGTTGTGCAAATCTAGTAAACCTGAATAACTCAGAGATTTGAGTTTGCATTTCAGGCCTGTTTTCGTCCAACATTTTCATGTATAGAAAGGTTGCCTTTTGATAGGTGAATGTGGCCGCAGACCAATTGCACTGATCCTTCAGTATCTGCGCGTAATTGGCCGCCAAATCCCACTCAAACTTTACGCTATATTTGTCAACAAATTACTTATCAATGAATAATTAATCGCTGTTTTGATGGCCTACTAACGCGTGACACCAAAGGAGTTCCCAAAAGCAAATGTTATGCATTTGTTTCACTTCTTCCTGGGATTCAATGCACTTATTGAAGTAAATGATAGCCGAGTCTATGTCTCCCTCCAACTGCAGTATTCTCGCTCTGAACCACAAAAACCAACAACTCTTTCAATAGTAACCAAAAAAGTTATATTCATTATATTTTAATGGCTTAGATATTAGAAATCTTTATGAAATTCTTATAGCATTATAATTAAATAGTCAATGATATGGTCGTGCAATACCTGATCGTATTTATCAAGTCCTTTGTCGACAAACTCTTCGACAACATCCAAATTAGATTTTCTGACGCCAAACATCTGATTAATATAGCACTCGTAGCCGGCAATGACCAGCTGACCAGGGTAGAATCGCAACCCCGACTCGTCTATTGAGCATTTGGTCAGTAAGTCTAAGCCGACCGATCTGTCGCCGGAAAAGCCAATCATTTCCAACAATTTCAGCACTCGTTTCGGCAAATGAGAGAAAACCAGATTCAGAGCCCCATTACCTAACAGTACACCCGATAT